AGCCTAGGGTATTGAACTCTCAGATGTCTTGTAGTTTTTGGTAGACCATATCAATAGCCTAGGGTACTGATCTCCTACCTGTCCTGTAGTACTTAGTAGACTATATCAATAGCCTAGGGTATTGGACTCTTACCTGTCTTGTAGTACTCTGCAGACTGTATCAATAGCATAGGGTACTGGACTCTTACCTGTAATGTTGTACTCAGTATAAGACTGTATCAATAGCCTAAGGTTCTATTCACTTAACTGTCCTGTAGTACTTGGAAGACTGTATCAATAGCCTAGGGTTCTTGGCACTAACCTGTCCTGTAGTACTCAGTAGACAGTATCAATAACCTAGGGTACTGATCTACTACCTGTAATGTAGTTTTCAGTAGTCCGTATCAATAGCCTAGAATTTTGGACTATTAGCTGCCTTGTAGTACTTGGTAGACCATATCAATAGCCTAGGGTACTGATCTCCTACCTGTAATGTAGTTCTCAGTACACCGTATCAATAGCCTAAAGTATTGGACTCTTCCATATAATGTAGTACTCAGTAGATTGTATCAATAGCCTTGGGTTCTGTTCACTTACCTGTTTTGTAGTACTCAGTAGATCGTTTCATTAGCCTAGGGTATTTAATTTTTAGTTATCTGGTAATAATTGGTATACCATATCAATAGTTTGGGTTCTGGTCACTTACCTGTCCTGTAGTACTCGGTAAACTGTATCAATAGCCTGGGGTATTGGACTCTTACGTGTCCTGTAGTACTCGGTAGACCAGATCAATTGCCTAGGGTATTTGACTCTGACCTGTAAATGTAGTACTCAGTAGACGGTATCAATAGCCTAGGGTTCTTGTCACTTACCTGTCCTGTAGTACTAGGTAGACCGTATCAATAACATATGGCATTGGACTCTTACCTGTCTTGTAGTACTCGGTAGACTGTATTAATAACCTAGTGTTCTGGTCTCTTACCTGTCTTGTAGTACTCGGTAGATCATATCAATAGCCTAGGGTACTGGACCCTTACCTGTCATGTAGTACTCAGTAGACCATATCAATAGCCTAGGGTACTGGACCCTTACCTGTCCTGTAGTACTCCGTAGACTGTATCAATAGCCTAGGGTACTAGTCTCTTACCTGTCATGTAGTACTCGGTAGACCGTATCAATAGCCTAGGGTATTGGACTCTTTCTAGTCCTGTAGTACTCGGTAGACTGTATTAATAGCCTACACTTACCTGTCCTGTAGTACTGGTAGACAGTATCAATAGCCTAGGGTATTCTCTGTAGTACTCGGTAGACTGTATCAATAGCCTAGGGTACTGATCTACCTGTCCTGTAGTCCTGTATAACTCATGTCCTTAGTACTGTATCAATAGCCTAGGGATCATATCAATAGCCTAACTATTCCTTGTGTCCTGTTGTACTCAATAGTTAGTCCATATCAATAGTACTCAATAGACTGTATCAATAACTTAGGGTTTTGGTCACTTACCTGTCATGTAGTAATAGGTAGACCGTATCAATAGCCTAGGGTACTGGACTCTTACGTGTTCTGTAGTACTTGGTAGACAATATCAATAGGATAAGGTTCTGTTCACTTTCCTGTCTTGTAGTAGAAGGTAGACAGTATTAATAGTCTACGGTATTGGTCACTTTCTGTCCAGTGTAATCAGTAGACTGTATTAATACCATAGGGTTCTGGTCACTTACCTGTCCTGTAGTTCTGGGTAGACGGTATCAATAGCCTAGGGTACTGGACTTTTACGTGTTCTGTAGTACTCGGTAGACTTTATCAATAGCCTAGGGTATTGGACTCTTACCTGTATTATAGTACTCGGTAGACCGTATCAATAGCCTAAGGAACTAATCCCTTACCTGTCCTATAGTAATCGGTAGACCCTATCAATAGCCAAGGGTATTTGACTCTGACCTGTAATATAGTATTCAGTAGACCATTTCAATGGCCTAGGGTACTCTTCACTTACCTGTCCTGTACTACTCAGTAGACTGTATCAATAGTCTAGGGTTCTGGTCACTTACCTGTCCTGTAGTACTCGGTAAACCGTATCAAAGCCTAGGATACTGGGCTCTTACCTGTCCTGTAGTACTCGGTAGACAGTATCAATAGGCTACGGTATTGGACTCTTGCCTGTCTTGTAGAACTTAGTTGACCATATCAATAGCTTATTGTGTTCTGATTTCTTACCTGTCCTGTAAAACTCAGTAGATGGTATCAATAGCTTAGGGTATTTGACTCTTAACTGTCTTGTAGTACTCGGTAGTCTTTATCAATGGCCTAGGGTACTCAACTATTACTTGTCCTGTTTTACTTGTCAGACCATATCAATAGCCTAGGCTTCTGGTCACTTACCTGTCATGTAGTATGCAGTGGACCGTATCAATAGCCTAGGGTACTGATCTCCTACCTGTCCTGTAGTACTTGGTAGACGGTATCAATAGCCTAGGGTTCTGGTCACTTACCTATCTTGTAGTAGTCTGTAGACAGTATCAATAGCCTAGGGTACTGATCTCCTACCTGTCCTGTAGTACTTGGTAGACTGCATCAATAGCCTAGGGTATTGGACTCTTACCTGTCCTGTAGTACTCAAAAGACTGTATTAAAAGCCTAGGGTTCTGGTCACTTAACTGTCCTGTAGTACTCGGTAGACAGTATCAATAGCCTTGGGTATTGGACTCTAAGCTGTCTTGCAGTACTTGGTAGACCGTATCAATAGCCTAGGGTACTGATCTCATACCTGTCCTGTAGTACTCTCTAGACTGTATCAATAGCCTATTAGGTACTGGACTCTTACTTGTCCTGTTGTACTCGGTAAACCATATCAATACGTCTAGGGTTCTGGTCACTTACCTGTCCTGTAGTACTCGGTAGATCATATCAATAGCCTAGGGTACTGATCTCCTACCTGTCCTGTATAACATGTTAGACTGTATCAATAGCCTAGGGTAATGAACTATTCCTTGTTCCGTTGTACTTGTTAGTCCATATCAATAGTACTCAATAGACTGTATCAATAACTTAGGGTTTTGGTCACTTACCTGTCATGTAGTAATAGGTAGACCGTATCAATAGCCTAGGGTACTGGACTCTTACGTGTTCTGTAGTACTTGGTAGACAATATCAATAGGATAAGGTTCTGTTCACTTTCCTGTCTTGTAGTAGAAGGTAGACAGTATTAATAGTCTACGGTATTGGTCACTTTCTGTCCAGTGTAATCAGTAGACTGTATCAATACCATAGGGTTCTGGTCACTTACCTGTCCTGTAGTTCTGGGTAGACGGTATCAATAGCCTAGGGTACTGGACTTTTACGTGTTCTGTAGTACTCGGTAGACTTTATCAATAGCCTAGGGTATTGGACTCTTACCTGTATTATAGTACTCGGTAGACCGTATCAATAGCCTAAGGAACTAATCCCTTACCTGTCCTATAGTAATCGGTAGACCCTATCAATAGCCAAGGGTATTTGACTCTGACCTGTGTCCTGTAATATAGTATTCAGTAGACCATTTCAATGGCCTAGGGTACTCTTCACTTACCTGTCCTGTACTACTCAGTAGACTGTATCAATAGTCTAGGGTTCTGGTCACTTACCTGTCCTGTAGTACTCGGTAAACCGTATCAAAGCCTAGGATACTGGGCTCTTACCTGTCCTGTAGTACTCGGTAGACAGTATCAATAGGCTACGGTATTGGACTCTTGCCTGTCTTGTAGAACTTAGTTGACCATATCAATAGCTTATTGTGTTCTGATTTCTTACCTGTCCTGTAAAACTCAGTAGATGGTATCAATAGCCTAGGGTATTTGACTCTTAACTGTCTTGTAGTACTCGGTAGTCTTTATCAATAGCCTAGGGTACTCAACTATTACTTGTCCTGTTTTACTTGTCAGACCATATCAATAGCCTAGGCTTCTGGTCACTTACCTGTCATGTAGTATGCAGTGGACCGTATCAATAGCCTAGGGTACTGATCTCCTACCTGTCCTGTAGTACTTGGTAGACGGTATCAATAGCCTAGGGTTCTGGTCACTTACCTATCTTGTAGTAGTCTGTAGACAGTATCAATAGCCTAGGGTACTGATCTCCTACCTGTCCTGTAGTACTTGGTAGACTGCATCAATAGCCTAGGGTATTGGACTCTTACCTGTCCTGTAGTATTCAAAAGACTGTATTCAAAGCCTAGGGTTCTGGTCACTTAACTGTCCTGTAGTACTCGGTAGACAGTATCAATAGCCTTGGGTATTGGACTCTAAGCTGTCTTGCAGTACTCGGTAGACCGTATCAATAGCCTAGGGTACTGATCTCATACCTGTCCTGTAGTACTCTCTAGACTGTATCAATAGCCTATTAGGTACTGGACTCTTACTTGTCCTGTTGTACTCGGTAGACCATATTAATATGTCTAGGGTTCTGGTCACTTACCTGTCCTGTAGTACTCGGTATACCGATCAATAGCCTAGGGTTCCGGTCACTTATATTTTTTTTATACTCGATGGTTCCCATTTGTGTTTAGTAACACAAATAAGATGATCAATGGTTGCATTTACTTGTAAAAATTTATATACATGTGTATTTATATAGGAAGCGAAAAAGTGTGAACATAAAAACAGGACATAAAAATTTCTTCAATCATAATAATCATCAAAGAGAGTTAAAAATGTTGAATATAGTCTGTTCCTCATTCATTTGACCCTGTCAATTCAGGTAGAATGAATGCATTCTCTTTCTCTTGGTCAACTCTTTTGTGTACAAAACAATGTAAGGAACCCTTTTGTTTACATAACAATACTAGTTCTGAAGCAGCCTATATGTCGTTCCTATAAATGATAACTCATAAATCGGCACTTACTTGTTCATTTTTCACACCTGAGTTACCTGTCCTTAAAACATAATATCAGAAAAGTCAAATAAGATGATTAATCATTTTAATAATTAAAAGTATGCATAAGTTATCATTTTTGATAATTTCATATACCCATAAATTATCAATACTATGTTTTGAACCAGATGTGCAACATGAAAAATTAGTTGAAAGGCCTATATATTTCACATCTTTGCACTTCCCAGCATTCATATACTTATTCTTAATTTATTATGCCCCCCTTGGAAGAAGGGAGGGCAAATTGCTTTGCTGCTGTCTGTCTGTCTGTCCACTTTGTTTGTGTTCTTTTTCTTTGCAACCATTGCATATACTGAAATAAAATTTGGTATACAGATGTATCACATAACAAGAAATCTGTGAGCCAATGCTCACTAGTAATACCCCCGCTCTGATATAAATAAGCAGTATCATGTTAATATACACAAGTTCAATTACAGGCAGATGCACAGAAAAATATGAAGTTGACATCAGATTCATATCAAAATTAATCCCACCATATGGCATGCCTCAACAAAGAGTGTGATAAAATTTCAAGCATCTGCATTGAATAGCTAATGAGAAAACTGAAACAAAAATCTGTGAGCCAATGCTCACTAGTAATACCCCCGCTCTGATGTAAATAAGCACTATCATGTTAATACACACAAGTTCAATTACAGGCAGATGCACAGAAAAATATGAAGTTGACATCAGATTCATATCAAAATTAATCCCACCATATGACATGCCTAAACAAAGAGTGTAATAAAATTTGAAGTATCTGCTATGAAAAGGTAATGAAAAAAATGCAAAGAAAATTTGTTATTTATGAAACAGACAGACGCACAGACAAACATGAAGTTGAAATCCAATTTAAAAAAAAAATGCATCCCAACATATGGCATGCCTTAGAGAAGATTGTTGTTAAAATTTCAAGCATCTACAATGAGTAGTTGCAGAGAAAACTGCGAATAATATTTGTTAATTGAACAGTCAGGTGATCTCTGACCTATGCATTGCTCTTTGAAAATTCCTTATGCTCATAAGATCACTATTCCTTTTCCTTGGTGTATAACTTTGCAATAGACAACAGTTGGACATTGAATTTATAAAGACTTGAAAAAACATACATGTACAAACTTGTGTTCATGCCGCATTTAGATGTACAATCAACAATAGGGACCAAAAAGTACCGGGCAAAACCAGTGGCCCTGTGCATCCCAAATTTGGGTGGCATGTATACCCTGTTTCCAGGGATTGCTTCTGGTCAGCAACTTTAACACAATCAGAAGCCTAGATCCTGTTACAAGAGGTGGAGGGGGCCCCAGGCCTGCAATGGCAAAGACCCCAATCGAAAAACTTCTTACTTGACTTTTTACTTTTCAACATTGCCATAATATTTCAAGCATCAACAATGAGCCAGATATGTTCACAAAATTTCCACTTAGTAGTTCGATATGATGTTCCTCCATTACTTTATATTAGGGGATACTTTCCCCTTCCCTTGAATGAGGGACCACAAACCACTTTTTACATTATTACCCAGCTCGGAGAGATGCGTTCCATCAAAGAACATGTCCGTAAGCAACACAAATGTTTTCATGAGAAATAACACCCCCACCCAATGTGACAAATTTGAAACAGACAGACACACAGACAATCGCAGGAAGCTGCACTGAATCTCTTGTATGACTTTTTTGGAAGTTGACTAAATGAATCTAAGTAATTGGGGGGTACTTCCTGTTTGATTTTAAGCGTGTTCTCCATGACAGTGTGGCAATGCTTTGTCCCCCTGGGCAGTGTTCCCAAATATTTATGACCTGCAATGCTTTGGGTGGTTCAAACTATATACATGTTCAAAACCCCTCCCCCCAAATGTCCTAAAATTTTTATTTATTTATTTATTTATTATATAGGTGTGGGCATGTTGTTGAATGAGTTACATGATCCTTATGTATTTAAGAAAAGCTACTGAATCTACCAAATGCATTTGATTGAGGGGTGTATGCATGAATTGCATGAGTGGACGAACCTGCAATTTGGGTAAAACATGGCTTGCCTGAATTAAAAGTAGCAACGATTAGATTTGTGACGAAAATTGGGATGTAATCAACCAGAGTTCAGAGTTTATGTATGAAACTTTTCGCAGCCTAAACAGACACACCAGACAAACATATATTTCAAGAGAAGTTGACTGAATTTTTCTAACATTTAAGTGAAAATCCATTTTTCAATTGACAAAAAGGTGCGTGTTTTTTGTTTAACAGGATGGCAATTTGGCCTTGTGTGTCTAAATGATCTGAAATTTCCCGCGCCGACTTAAGCAATATTGACAAATCAATAAATTTTCCCTCCCAAATCTTTTGTTTGATATTGTGCTGGGAGTCTGGGCTGGTTAGAATTTCAAGCATCTAGATTCGCTGAGTAGTTGCTGAGAAAACGATTGGCCTGTGACGAAAATTTGTGATGTATGAAACGGACAGACGCACAGACAAACAGGAAGTTAACAACGTTATACATCGGATTAATTTGGTACAAAGGCAAATTAATCTGCCTTATGTATGAAACAGACAGACGCACCGACAAACAGGAAGTTGACATCGGATTTGTGCGAAAATGTATCCCACGATATGGCATACCACAGAGAATATTGTGTTAAAATTTCAAGCATGACATTGGATTTAAGCCAAAATGTATCCCACCATATGGCATATTTCAAGGATGAGTAGTTGCTGAGAAAAACTGTGACAAACACGAAAATCGGATTTTGAAAATGTTCGGACGGTTAAAACACACAGACTGAAAAAACTGTGACGAAAATTTGTTTTGGACGGACACACAGACTGACAGACGGACAGACAGACGGACGGACAGACACACAAGGGTAAAACAGTATACCCCCCTCTCCTTCGGAGCGGGGATATAAATATCTAGGTCAAGTTCTGTTTAAGGTACAATCGCACCTTTATTTACAGTTATGCCCATTGGACTTAAAAAAATTTCAATGATTTCAGTTTCTGTTCATTTTCCTTGCAACCGTTTAACATACTGAAATGAAATTAAGCTTAAAGATGTATCACATAAATATTTGGGTCAAGTTCTGTTTTGGGTACAATTGCGCCATTTTGACAAAGTTATGCCCCTTGGACTTACAGAAATTTCCAATTATTTGCAGTTTCCATTCATTTTCTTCACAAACATGTTTCATTTTATTAAAACGCATGTTTTCAATAAAAACGAAGCACAAATAGTTATATTTTTATCAGATACAAAAATGACACGCACTCATACCCGGAGCACTTAAACAAAAATTTTTGACGTTACCCGAGTACATGTACTCTGTAACTATTCTCAACATAGTCACCGTTAAACTCCCTGTCACTATATTTCTTATGTCCCTTTAACCAGTCAATAAAAATGTGCACAAAATGTTCAGTTTGCATACATAAAATAACATTTAACAATGCCTTTCTCATATTCTGCAATCACCTAGAATACGTTTGCATAAAAACTATTATATTTACGGAAATCCAGCAAAGTCACGTTATGAAATTTATTTTTTACAGCACTGTAATATCAAGATGGTGGTTTTCCTTCATGCGTCATCCTGTAAACTGTTCCTTCTGTCTGAAAATATTATATGCTACTGAAATGCTTATGAACACCTTCTTTAACTATATTTTCCCGATTGATTACAATTTTTTGTCTCTGTGGGTGTCTACACAGAATTTTATCCATGCCTGCTGCTCCACCTAGTCAGAAAACGTCAATTTTTTACCATCACAGTTCTCCATGTCTGTTCTTTTGAACAATGCTGAATTAAGTTCATCCAAAGAAGTTTGGTTGAAATTGTCTATGATGGTTCTTGACTATATAAAGTAGAAGGGCACCAGATACTTTTATCAGAAAGCTCATTGGCTGTGGGTCCCCCAATTTGCGAGATATATTAAACTGACACCTTTGGAGGGGAAGAGGGTCACTGAAGTTCTTTAAAATGAAAATTTATTTTTCTAAAATTTAAGATGTTAGCTAGCATATTCAGCATCTTGAATAGATAAGGAAAATTCCATATTTTAACACAATCTAAGAATGATCTATTTCTAAGTAATGTTTAAATCAATGTATATTTACCGAGTATTTATTTGAGTTGTCAGATTTTAAAAAAAAGTAGTTTTTTTAACAGCTGCCTGGAATTTTTTTTTCATTCTTGCAATTCAAATAAGTTACACATAAACATTTAATTACAGTAATTCAATTTGGAATTTGAAACCAAAATATTGATAAGTATAAAACCCATCCATTTGCTAGAATTGCTTCTAGACAACCGGGTTTAGACACAAAGTATAATTGATTGAAAGAATTTATACAGTGACTATCAACAGTGTGTTCAATTTTCAAATGCATTAAAACAAAATCGTGCTTTTGCATAAAACAAGAATGGTGTTGGCTTAACATGCTTAAAGCAAATGAACAAAAAAGATTTTAAAAACATCAAGTCTTCCTGATGACAAAATATTAGTCAAAATAGATCTTTCCTCGAAGTGGTAGTTAAATTGAAGTTCAAATTTTTTTAAAATTAGTTTATTTTCCTAAAATTGCCAGGTAACATAATTTCCCAGTAGGTGTTTCTAATTTCCAGGCCTCATAGAAGAAATAATGTTGAATATCCCTTTCCTATGTAACATTTTATTGATAATATTGTAATCTAGATATGAACACAATTTTATTCAAAAGAAATATAATGTTTAAGATGTCAGTTCAAGTATCCATTAATTGTATTATCTGCTCAAAGGCAGGGGTATCCTCCGGAGCCACCGGAGTCATTGTGGCCCACTTAACAAGTCTCCATGTAATGCTCCTATCCTTTAATTCATTACATGATCGAGCCCCCAATTAGTGAGTATATGTGTACTGTATATATAAAATGAAAAAAAAATAAAAATTCAGTCTTTAATTCTCATCTTTTGAATAGTAAAATGATTGAGAATTCTCATTAATTAAATTTATTTTATACTAACAGTAAAACTCGTTTAGTATGAACACGGATATATTAGCAAACTCATGGATATAGCAAAGTTTTTTCTTGGTCCCTGGCAAACAAAATTCTCAACAAATCTTTGTAAAATTTTACGGTTATAACACAGGGGTGGTACTGAAATCAGTCATTTTTGAAAATGATGGATAATGGTCATTTCTTCTAAGTATATAATGTACACAATTTTCTGATTTTTGTAAATATGATGTCTTTTCATCATATTTCCATTCTCAAGTCAATTTTCCCATCCCATTTACTCCAGTAATTAGATATAGTACACTATCCTGCCATAGACCCTTGTGTAGAGAATCATCTTGACAAGTAATTGAAACCAAAATAATTTAGTGCGCCCCGTAAAACTAATTAGATAATTAAGTGCGCCCAGACCTAACAATTTGATAAAAAATGATGAAAAACAGTCATTTTTAAAATCAGAGATAACTCTATTTCTAAAATAAATTTCAAAATAGAAATGACTGTTTTTCATCATTTTACTAAAAAAAAGATGAATTTCCATCATTATTAAAAATCAATTTAATGACTGAAAATCATCATTTTTAAAAATGATGGATTTCAATCACACCCCTGACTGGTATAACGAACTCTGATATAACAAATTTACGGATATAGCGAACTGATTTTGAGTCCTGTTGAGGTTAAAATATAATCATGGTAATGGTTGCATGTTTAAAAAATTATAAACATTGTCTACGACTTTTTGGGACAACTCTCGTATATATGGAACTTCAATTGTGTAAGGCCTTTAATGAGCAGATGTGAATCATTTAAATTACTATGAGCCAATTTTAAAAAATTGATCAAGTGTAAAATATGACGCCTCCATTTAAGAAATAAACGTTATTCAGTGAACGTGGCATTATGAATAGCAATAGCTCTGCTGGCATATATAATCGTTTTTTATTACATGTACTTATATTTGGATTCTTTGATGTTGTTAAGAAAATCAGAGGAAATCGTGGCTTACATAAGGCCTAAAAAAATATTTGTTTGTTTCCTGCAACCTGATAAACCCATTCAAATTATCCCCGGGTGGATTTTCTTTTTCTGACAAATGGCAAAACTTTGTTTGATTACGTAATCAGCTGATTCCATTAATTAAATTTTTAAAAATAGCTTGTAGCTTAATTTGAGACATAAAATATGTCAACCTAGTTTTTATTTACCTTAAAAAATAAAGAATAATCATTATTCTAACAACAGTTTCCCCGTACAACTTTCTGAAGTTTGTTTTCTGCGCTTGGCAGCCCTGTTGGATGCCATGTTGGGTGTCCACTGTAAATATAACACCTGGTATTTATTTTCATTCCAAGGATGTTTCACCATTCATAAGCAAAAAAAGAATTTCTGACCTACTGACCCTTGATTTTTTGGGAATGTTACAGGAAACAAACTTTTTTTTTAAGCCTTGGTTGCGGCTTGTTGTTTTCAGTAAATAAAAAGTAACAGCTGTAAAATCAGTATACCTGATTTATAGTGTCCTTTTTTTTCTCTAATAAATCACAAACAATTCTTTAAGTTTTTGCCTTTTAAATACAGTTATCTGGATACAAGCTGCACCGACGTCACATTCTCTAATTTTTTTTTTGATGCAGTTGTGACGTCACCAATCAACGCTTATTGAACCCTATGACAATAAAGTGCCACGCCACAGCATGATACGCCTGTCAAAATATTACACAATTATCTTTAACAGTTTAGAGTGCAAGAAAATCATGTCAACCTTGATTCTAAGATTTCCATGATTTTTTAATTTTTTAAAAAAATATTTCTTTATCCATCCCCTGCGCTGTAGGCATAATTATAACAAATATTACAAAACTGAGAGACTATTATACTGTTTGTGTAAGACTTTGTCAAATGCCGGCATCATAATAAACAATATCAAACTAGAAAACTGACCAGTCAGCAAGGGCCCCGCCATGGGGTAGAATTAAAAGGGTGCAGCTTACAAAATGATTAAAAAATGCACGAAGCATAAGCAACAGCAACTGTATTCTTAAAATTTCAAGATAATTCCTGAATATTCAAAAACCTGAAAATAATATCCTTGTATTTACATTAGGCAGTAAAGAACAACTTAACATAGAATGTATATTTAAACAATTATGAAGCTTAAGTTATATAGAATGCCAACCTTCAATGAATGCAAATATCATGAAGGCTTGACCTTAACTTCAAGCAAACAGCAATTGCAGACAAAGGTTTTCATTAATCTTAAAGATAAAGAAAAGCCTTCTAAATTTTCTGCAGCAGGCTAGATAATTAATCCCAAAAGATTAATTGTACCTCTCTCATAATTTTCTTCTTAAGTTACAATAAGAACTTTTTCAGTATTAATGATAGAATGGGTTTTTTTTTATACACAACCTTAAAAATTGATTAACATAAAGTGAAAAAAGTAAATCAAAAAATCTTCTTTAATATATTTCGATCTTGTTTTCAGAATTTAATGAAATCATAACAATTAAACAAAAATAAATTATAAAAATTTATATTTAAATCCACATTTTAGAGTGTTCATAGCATTCCAAATTGACTCAACTTCAAAACAAACTTCATTTGCAGTCGGCTGCATTTCATTTCCGGAATTTTTTGTAATTATCAACTTTTCATTTCCGACATTTTATAGTTTTCATTTCCGACATTTATCTGTTTTCATTTCCGACATTTTTTTCAAATACATATGTATAGTCTAGCTACCTTTAGTAACAGATTTGAAGACGTTACTTATGAAAAATATAAAGGATTAAATCATAAATAAATTATTGAAATCCAATTTCTGAGTTTTGTAAATGTTTGGTGCTGTCACTGACATTTAATTTAGTGCACGTGCACACTAAATGTGGTTAAAAGGTTTTATGCTTATTGAACTATTTTTTCCTAGGACAAGTGTTAAATGTATGCATAAGCTTTTTTTAAATCATTATTTTGGTAGACAAACTTTTAAATTCCAATTTCATTTATGTAGAAAACATTGAATTGCCGCACAGATAAATTCCGGAAATGAAAAAAAATATGTCGGAAATGAAAACAAAAAATGTCGGAAGTGAAATAAAAAAAAATGTCGGAAATGCTATGCATATTTCCGGAAATGAAATGCAGCGGATACCTTTGCAGACAGAGGTGGTAATTCATCTCAATGTGACAGATAAAGATAATGCTCTGGATTTTCTTCAGGAGGAAAGCTAATTAATCCCAAGGGACTCATAGCCAGCATTCAGTTTACAATGGGAACATCTTCAGCAGTTTTCCCTCTTTGCCAATGCATTCTTATATGAAGTTAAGGAATCTACCCCACCTCCCCAGCTCCAAACCAGGGGACAAGGAGAATCAAACTTAACATCAAAATATGTATATCTGCTTACTGGACTACCATACCAAATTTTTACCTGATTGGGCAACCATAAAAAAGTTGCCCATTCATTCTTATGCATAGTTAAGGAATCTACCCCACCAACCCAGCTCCAAACCAGAAGACATAGAGAACCAAACTTAGCATCAAAATATGTATTTCTGCCTACTGAACTACCATACCAAATTTGAACTTGATTGGGCAACCACCAAAAAAGCTATTAGAAAAAAATAGAAAATTTGTGGACGGAAGAGTGACAGACGGACAGACAGAGTGATTACTATAGGGCACCCACAAATCCCTGTGGGACCCTAATTAGTCTTAACAACTTACGGTAATCTATGCCAAATTAATTTTGAAAAGAAGGGCTAGCCATCAAATGACATACCGGTATGCTATAAACTGACCAGCAATTTTTCTGTCTAATCCCCAAAGGATACAGATATTAGGCAGCACTTGATCAGATAGCCTTCCTACATTAAACTCATTAATTAATCTTTAACTGGATGCTTGTCTATTCATTACTCCCTAAATATTAATGGATCTGCACTTTTTATCCTAAAACACTTTAAAACATATAAAATACTCCATGATTTCTTTTTAGATTTAATGCAAGACAGGTTTGATATTTAATTCATATGGACAAGTAGAAATGCTGATTAAACCCCACCCCATAAAATTAGTTTTTAATTAATTAATATTATATAATATCAGATTATTAGTATATTATGCAATATCAAATAAGTTTTAATTACTTTTCATCAAATTCATTTTAAAACTTAAGCTAGGAACAAGAGCTATTTTTTATCTATTTTAGCTAGGCTGGCTGTCCATTTGCTCAATATCCAAGGGAAATAGATAACACCAATGATCTACTAGTTACCTCCTCACACTAAACTCATTAATTTCTCTCTAATTTGACATGCAACTTTCTGCTATCAAAATTCTTCTTGACCAGTGCTTGATACTGTAAACGTCCTTATATTGACGAGTTGAAAAATTGACAATTTTTTGTTTACGAAAATTGACGAGTGTTAATCTTGACGAAATATTTAATCTAGAGTTTAAAATCTTTGAATTCACAGTGATACAAAGGCAGTGTTGGAATCACTAAAATATAATTTTTGCACAAACTATTTTTGTGTGTAAGATTTGATTAAATAAATTGCCCTCTTGTTATTTGATTTCATTATAAGCGGTCAAATGCCTGAGGTAACAAACAAGGTCAAGCACGGTGTGATGATTATATACGCTAAATTACGCTTGCAGTATTTGATACACTAATTTAGATTCAATGGTTTTTAAAAATGTGATTTTATATCACTATGTTTTCTTAACTAATTACAAAATAAATTAACAGTGACTTTGATGTCGTTGCCAAACGAAAAAGATGTTAAAAGTTTAGGGGTAAATTGTACAATGGTCAATGTCTGTTGTGTCTCTTTGAATATGATAAGAAGTTTGACAAGTGCAAATTTTGACGAGAAAAGAAGAATCTTCAATATAGTAAAAATTAGCACATCATCAAAATTTCCACGTTTACAGTAATTATGCACATGGGACAAACTGAATTCCTCTCATTAATATTGAAATTTGTTTAAGATTGAAGTAAAGTATATGATGAAAAAAAAATGTTTTTACTTGATTTAATACTTTTTAATAAGGATACAAATCTATTTTTTACATTTTTAGGATAATGAAATTTAAAATTTAAAAAACTTTTATTTAAATTTCACTAATTTAAAAATTAAAGGTAACATATTGACCTTGAAATAGGTCGTGACACACCTTCTACCTAAGATGTATACTTTTGCCAAGTTTGATAGATCTAGGTCTAATAGTTTTCTCGTTATGAGTGGGACAGGATTTTAGTTATGAGCCAGACAGGATTTTTCCAAATTTGGCCATAGCATCTTTATTAAAGTTCAGAGCAAACTACTACCAAAGAAGTATCGGTTGACAAAGTTTGATAATCCTTATAAGGCCTAATAGTATTGAAGTTATGAGCAGGACACGAAAAGACAGACTGACAGATAGACATGAAGCCTATGACATAATACGTCCTGTCTTAAGACGGGCATATAAAAATTAATAATTTAACGTTGCTGAAATTTGTGAAAAACAACAAAGCTCTAATAAAGATTATGTTAAAATACTGTGACAGAATGCTTTCTATGATTTTTTTAAGTTCTTCTATTTATTTTTAGAGTTTAAATCCTTCTTGAAATAGATATACTATTGAACACAACAAAATGTTGCTTTTCTGAATGTCAAAATTCCCAAGTGTGAAAAAAGTTATTGTTCTTTGTATAAATATGCTTGAAAATATGACAAGAAAAAAATTAATAAGGCAGTTCTCTTCAATTTTTAAAAATTTTTATTATACAATTAAAAGCATTGACCAAAATAAGATTTTTAAAGTTGTAAATCAGCAATTTTTAAATTATAAAATTGAATTTTACGATTTTTGCTTTTTTTTTAGAAAATTTTAATATTAAAACGCTTATATTGATTCCTTTTGAATATTTTTATATAAAACTTCTCAACACAGTATAACAGTGACTTACATAAACTTTCATATCATATAACCGACCGCCTATAAAAATTAATAATTTAACGTTGTGTGAAAAACAACAATTATCTAATATTATGACTCCAGAATGCTTTCTATGATTTTTTTGTTCTTCTATTTATTTTTAAACGAAATCCTTCTTGAAATAGATATACTATTGAAGAAATATTTGCTGAATAGAGTTATTGTTCTTTGTATAAATATGCGAAAATATGACATGAAAAAAATTAATAAGGCAGTTCTCTTCAATTTTTAAAATTTTTTATTATACAATTAAAAGCATTGACCAAAATAAGATTTTTAAAGTTGTAAATCAGCAATTTTAAATTATTCTATTTTCTTGTCAATTGAATATTATTAAAAAAAACTTATATTTATTCCTTTTGCTAAACATTTCATATATAAAAACTTCTCAACACATTGTATAAGTGTAGAAGAGCTTGTGCTACACTTGTGTGAAATAGCAATTGCATTCATACATGTAGCAGAAGTAGTTGCGTCTATAGTCTTATGAACGCAATTGCTGACTGCATGTTCATAATTGGAGAAAGCAGTGGATATGCAAATATAAATAAATAGCATCAATGCCATTGCTTTACCAAGCAAAAATGTCAATTTAACTTGTTTTAACACTGAAGGTTTTTCATAGTGGGAGAAAGCAGTGGATATGCAAATATAAATAAATAGCATTAATGCCAAATATGTTTTACCAAGCAACAATGTCAATTTAACTTGTTTTATAATTAACATTGAAGGTTTGATCCTGATATTTACAGTCTTCAGCTTTTTATGTCAAGTAATAACTGCCATATGATATATGATTTATAAAATATTTAACATACCAATGTTGCCAAGTATTCCATCATATCTAAATGACTTATCCAAATACACCAGTAGTTCTTCAATGTGTTGTGCCCATAATTTGTGATCCCCAGTGTAAGTTCTTGAAGTATCATTATCCTTTGTCTGAAATATTTCAATAATTTATTGTATACAGTGGACCCTCATTCATCCGGACGATTTGACTTCCAGTTCTCAGTGAAATCCGTTCATTTTTCATGAAAAATCAGTAAATGTTGATGAAATTGAATATGTTCCCAAGCATTAACCACTTTATTTTTTGTGTATAAAATAATTGGTTAAAAATCTCTGTCCAGAATTAAATTCGTGTCCGTTAATGAGTGGGAACAGTATTCATTTTTTATAAATAGTAAGTCCGGAAATGAAAATTATGCAACATTATTTTACGCTGATTTTACAGTCAGTATTTATGTAGGGAACAAATAATATTAACAGCTGTTTTAACATGTGAACACAAAAAAAATCATACAAGATAAAATCCACATATGCTTATAAATAATTATCTTTCAAGTTTATAAAATCCTTTTAATCTAGTGTCGGGAATTTCATTGATAGCATGGTTCAGAATGTACGTATATAGCGTTTTAATCCTTCCTCAATATATATGTGCATTTGATGGTGACCTGATAAAGGATACATACATATGTTTTTTAAATAATCTTTTAAGTTATGCTTTTATTCAAAAGTAGTGAAACTTTACAAGTATATAACTGCCCCTGCGAAATGATCAAGAATAATTCTTATTAATTATATTCTTGAATCAGCTCATGAATTGTTGAAGTTAAAATTGCATGGACACTCATGATTTCAAGGATTTTATTCATGAAAACCAAGTTCAAGAATATTCAAGAATTATTTGTTGTTCATGAACAAACTTGGATTTTTTAATTGCCTGCAAAATGATCAAGAATAATTCTTGAACTTTCAAGAAAACTTTATAAATTATATTCTTGAACCTTAATTCAAGAAAAGTTCATGAATGATATTAATAGGTTTAATGCATGAACTATTCATGAATAAAATGTAAAAAATATTTAGGAATGTTCATGAACTATTCATGAATGTTCTTGCTTTTTGTAAACAAAAATGTAATAAATTATGCAAAATGAAAAACTGTAAAAGAAACTATTTTAATAGTATCTTGAAAGATTTCACAGAATTATTTTTCCAATCATGGTAACAAAATATTTGTTCAAGTAAACAACTCTGATAAGTGATATCGATAATGAATAAATTTTGTAGTTCATTCCTAGTAAAATTATGAAAAAAATTAATTCAAACTCAACTCTTTGCAGAATCCTCAACTTACTTGGTCAAGAGGAGTGTGGGTTCCTTATTCAGCGTATTTCAGAGTGTATGCTTAAAATGCAATGATTTTTAGATGGTGTCACTTTTAGTTTAATCTCAGAGGCCTAAAAATAGAAAAAGGAAGCCATGGTGATAACACATGAATTAAATCTACGGTACGAAAGGGTGCAGAAATTGTTTCGATCAATTTGAAAACATAAACATATTATATCAAACTGAAGAAATTGATATGAACCTTTCTCTATCTCAACTAATAAAGTATTTTGATAATTTAAAACTAAAAATATTAACTGTAAATAACACTAGTAGACAAAGTACTATCCTGCATAATATTATGACTGTACACATCATCCATTGTTTACTTCCGGAAAATTTATTAGTTCGTACCTGATGAAATTCGGAAAAGTTCAGAAAGGTTTCCAGACTGAGCAATTATTAAAATTTCTCTTCAAATCAAATTAAATGAAAAATGTGAATGTATATATCTTTCATAGTTTTTTTTTTAGAATGTTAATGGAAAGATAAAAGTTGTTATTAAAACTCTACAAAAAAATCACATTTGTGAAATCTAGCATGAAGATTATTTTGACCCCGTCTTTCAGTACTGTCTCAGTACTTTGATTAATCCAAGTCTCACTGTCTGGCAGAAAAGTGTGTTTAGCAATTAGGGCATCAGCTAAAAGGGCTTTCAAGGGTTTTGAGAAGAAGTGGTCAAATAAAAATTAATAAAGTGCCACGCCACAGCATGATAAGCAGGTCAAAAAATTACAATTACAATGTATCTTCAGGGCTCAACAGTAACTTTAAAACTAGATGCTGTCATGAGACAGTAATACCCGCACTTAGGTGTTTGCCTCTAAATACACGCTCCTACATATTGGGCGGCTTTCCAAGGAAATAGTCAAAATAATTCTATAATTTACATGTATTAATCAAATTGATTATGAAATTCTCAGACCCTGTGATGACCTATAACTCAAAACCTCTTATATTTATTTTGTACATGCTTAATTCATTATATACCAGTCTGAATTTTATTAATGATGAAAATTCATGCACGGATCTGTCGGGGGGGGGGGGGTCCCCCTGAATTTACAAGGTTAAAAAATGTATACACAAAAAGTTCATAAACATGAAATGTGGAAGTAGGTATGAAAAGACAAACATAATTTGCGGCAATAGAAGTCGCCACTACCCCCACCCCACCTCCACGATATAGGTTTTTGACGTTTGGGTGAGATTTACTTTAGGGTTTTTTTTGGTTGTCCATTTCTGGGATAGGATTTTTTTTGATGAGGTGGACCCCCCCCCCCCCCCCCCCCGGAAAAAAATTCTGGTATCCGCGCATAAATTTAGTTAGATTTTGATAAAACTTGCCATTATCTCCCCTTGGAAAAGAGCGTGGCCCTTCATTTGAAAAAAAATTGAATCCCCTTACCCGAGGATACTTTGTAGCAATTTTGGTTGAAATTGGCCCTGGTTTTCGAGAAAAAGATTAAAATGTGAAAAGTTTACAACGACAACATGGACAATGACAACAACAACAAAAACAACGACAGACAACAGACAAATTTTTATAAGAAAAGCTCACTTTTAAGCCATTGGCTCAGATGAGCTAAAAATGAAAAACATTTTACAGATTCATTTTAGCTAAGTAAATATATTATCATGATTATGCATCTCGTAATTTATTTAGGGAAAGAACATTCTGATAAACAATCTGTTTAATGATTAAAAGGGATTATTTTGAAGAGGAACATTTGTGTTATACAGAAAAAGTCATTTAGTACGACTTCACGGATACTGCAAATTTACTAATATTTATCGAAGTTATCTTGTTTCCCGAGTTTTATAAATATACTGGAATTAAAGGCAAAGAATTATGCACCAAACAAAGATTTAAAACAGAAAGGGTAATTTTGACCATGACGTAGAAACTTCGACCAAGGTCACTGCACATCCACTGGAACTCTGTGAGTGAAGTATAAATAGCTAGAGAGGAGATTTACTCCGGACTAGGATTTTTCATATAATGCTGCTATGACCTTGACCTAGAAACCTGGTTTAAGGTCACTGCACATCGGTTACCCAAAGACACTCTCTAGTGAAGTATGAGGCAGTAAGGGCCAAGAAGAGAGAAGATATGCTTCGGACAAGGATTTTACATATAATTCACTTATGACCTTGAACTTTAGTATGAGGCAGTAAGGGCCAAGAAGAGAGAAGATATGCTTCTGACAAGGATTTTACATATAATTCACTTATGACCTTGAACTTTAACCTAAAAACCTGGTTCAAGGTCACTGCGTATCGGTTACCCAAAGGCACTCTGTAGGTGGAGGAAAGAGAAGAAATGCTTCGGACAAGGTTTTTTTATATAATTCAGCTATAAACTTGACCTTTAACCAGGAAACCTGGTTCAAGGTCACTGCACATTGGTTACTCAAAGGGCACTCTGTGGGTGAAGTATGAGCCAAATTGGGCCAAGAAGAGAGAAGATATGCTCCAGACAAGGATTTTTCATATAATTCTGTTATCACCTTGACCTTTAACCTAGAAACCTGGTTCAAGGTCACTGCAAACCAGTTACCAATAGGCATTCTGTGGGTGAAGTATTAGCCATATTGGGCCAAGGAGAGAAAAGATATGCTTCGGACAAGGATTTTTCATATAATTTAGCTTTGACCTTGACCTTTAACCTAAAAACCTGGTCCAAGGTCACTGCGCATTGATTATCCAAAGGCACTCTGTGGGTGAAGTATGAGCCAGATTGGGCGAAGGAGAGAGAAGAAATGCTTCGGACAAGGTTTTTTCATATAATTCAGCTATGAACTTGACCTTTAACCTAGAAACCTGGTTAAAAGTAACTGCACACCTTTTCCCAAAGGTTTTTGAACGTTTGGGCCAGATTGGGTGAATGAGAGAGAAGATATGCTCTGGGAAGGATTTTTAATATAATTCAGCTATGACCTTGGCCTTTGACCCTGAAACCTGGTTCAAGGTCACTGCACATCGGTTAAAAAGGCACTCTGTGGGTTAAGTATGAAGATTAGGAGAGAGAAGATATGCCCCAGACAAGATATCCCCTTGGAGACTGATCACTATGGCCCTTACATATATGCATATGTAAAAAGTTTAAGAAGAGTTAGAAGTCTTAAGTCAGAGTTAGAGATAGAGTTCATGTTAGTTTGAGTTAGGAAATGCAGCTAGCAGACTGTAATAGATGTTTAAATATACTGAAAGGTAAAAGAAACACACAAGAACATGATATGGTTAAATTTTCTGACTATGTGACCGAAACTACAACATGGACAATGACAACTTGGAAAAACAACATATCAATCAGAAATGAAAGTTTACGGGGGACAAATTTTTACCCCCCAATCATGATTTGAACAAACTTGAAGCTCACTTTTAATATCACTAATCATGCTACTTGAAAAGGTGATTTTAAAAGGTTTCCCTATAAATCCCTATGTAAAAACATTTTACAGATTCATGATTTAGCTAAGAAATACTTATTACATGACCTGAGGATGATTCCACATGAGTTTATCTTTCCTGGCCCAGTGGTTCTTGAGAAGAAGATTTGATTCAAATTTTTTATATATTCCTATGTAAAACTTTGGTTGGCCATTTTGGCCCCACCCTAGAGGTCAACATTTGAACAAACTTGAATACAGAAAAAGATGATTCCACATGAGTTTCATCTTTCCTGGCCCAGTGGTTCTGCAAAAGAAGATTTTTCAAGATTTTTCCTACATATTTTATGTAAATATACTGGATTTTGGCCCCAAAGGCAATGAATTATGAACAAACTTAAATCTACACTAACAGAGGATAATTCCACATGACCATCTTTCCTGGCCCAGTGGTTCTTGAGAAGAAGATTTTTCAAGATTTTTCCTATATATTCCTGCACATCCACTAGCCCTGGGGGTCATGATTTGAAGAAACTTGAATCTACACTACCTGAGGATGATTCCACATGAGTTTCATCTTTCCTGGCCCAGTGGTTCTTGAGAGGAAGATTTTTCAAGATTTTTGCTATATATTCCTATGTAAAACTGGTTTAAGGTCACTAGCACGGGGGTCATACCCAACAAACTTAAATCTCACTAGTGAGTATGATTCCACATAAGTTTCATCAAGAAGAGCCCAGTGGTTCTTGACAAGAAGATTTTTAAACATTTTTCCTATATATTTCTATGTAAAACTTGGGTTGGCCATTTTGGCCCCACCCTAGCCCCAGGGGTCATGAAGAGACAAACTTGAATCTACACTACCTGAGGATTTTACATGAGTTTCATCTTTCCTATGGTTCTTGAGAAGAAGATTTTTCAAGATTTTTCCTATACATGTATATTCATATGTAAAACTTGGGTTGGCCATTTTGGCCCCACTAGCCCCGGGGTCATGATTTGAACAAACTTGAATCTACACTACCTGAGGATGATTCCACAAGAGAAGCCCAGTGGTTCTTGAGAAGAAGATTTTTCAAGATTTTTCCTATGATATTCCTATGTAAAACTTGGGTCGGCCATTTTGGCCCCATCCTAGCCCTGGGGGTCATGATTTGAACAAACTTGAATCACACTACCTGAGGATGATTCCACATGAGTTTCATCTTTCCTGGCCCAGTGGTTCTTGAGAAGAAGATTTTTCCTATATATTCCTATGTTAAACTTGGGGGCCAGCCCCAAGAGAGATGATTTGAACAAACTATACACTACCTGAGAATGATTCCACATGAGTTTCATCTTTTCATGGCACAGTGGTTCTTGAGAAGAAATTTTTAAAGATTTTTCCTATGTATTTCTATGCAAACCGGCCATTTTGGCCCCAATAGGCATGTTTGAAGTACTTGAATCTACACTACCTGAGAATGATTCCACATGAGTTTCATCTTTCCTGGCCCAGTGGTTCTTGAGAAGAAGATTTTGACAAGATTTTTCCTATATATTTCTATGTAAAACTTGACCTTTAACCTAAAAACCTTAAAGGTCATGACTGAACAAACTTGAATCCAAAGGACTCTGTGGGTGAAGTCCACATGAGTTTCATCTTTCCAGCCCAGTGGTTCTTGAGAGAGAAGATTTTTCGGACAAGATTTTTCCTACATATTTCTATGTAAAACTTTAACATTTTGGCCCCAACCTGGTGATTTGAACAAACTTGAATCTACACTACCTGAGGATGATTCCCAATGGTTTCACTCTTTCCTGAAGGCCCAGTATTCTTGAGAGAGAAGATTTTTTGACAATGCCATTAATTTTTCTATAATTCATAATGATCTCCCCTTGGAAAAGGGCGTGCCCTAGATTTGAACAAACTTGAAGGTCCCCTTTACCCAAGGATGCTTTGTGGCAAGTTTGGTTGAAATTGGCCCAGCTGAGAAGAAGTCGAAAATGTGAAAAGTTTACGGACAGACAGACAGACAGACGGACAGACAGACAGACAGACGGACAGACGGACGCCGGACAAAATGTGATCAGAAAAGCTCATTTGAGCCTTCGGCTCAGGTGAGCTAAAAATTGGTGAGATGTTTATTTTGGTCACTTTGCACTAAAATCACTAGACAAAACTACTCAACCATGAAATGTATTGCATCACGTAGGGGAAATGATTAAAAGTCAAAAACACATGCATGCTGATGATGATAATTTTGTAATAAAATTTTATAGACTGAAGTACAATACTATGCATTAGAATTAAAGACATCCTTTTTGCATATTTGCAGTCAGTACATGTATAAATTTCTTGCAATCGTGGTATGGCTGACGGAATCTACTGTGGGTTTAGTAATTGAGTTCAACTGATATTTATACAGCAGACAAACATAATCACTTTTTTCACCCTAAACTGACAGAAACTCTATGCTCTAATTTGGGCCGCGAGCTTGGTCAGCTTACATTGATTTTACTCTCAAATGCACACGTACGAGTTGTTTGTGTAATGTTTTTAGCATGTTTACGCTAGGAAAATGTGGTATTATTGTTTTACAAACAGCG